AGGACACCAGAACTGCACACAATACTCCAAGTGAGGTCTCACGAGAGCAGAGTAGAGAGGCAGGATCACCTCCTTCGACCTGCTGGTCACGCTCCTTTTGATGCAGCCCAGGATACGGTTGGCTTTCTGGGCTGCAAGCGCACACTGAAGCCGGCTCATGTTCATTTTCTCATCGAGCAACACCCCCAAGTCCTTCTCCGCAGGGCTGCTCTGAATCTCTTCTCTGCCCAGCCTGTAGCTGTGTCTGGGATTGCTCCGACCCAGGTGTAGGACCTTGCACTTGGCATGGTTAAACTTCATGAGGTTGGCATCATCCCACCTCACAAGTGTGTCAAGGTCCCTCTGGATGGCATTCCTTCCCTCCAGTGTATCAACTGAACCAGACAGCTTGGTGTCATCGGCAAACTTGCTGAGGGCGCACTCAATCCCACTGTCCATGTCAGCAACAAAGATGTCGAACAAGACCGGTCCCAACACCGATCCCTGAGGGTCACCACTCGTTACTGGTCTCCAGTTGGACATTGAGCCATTGACCACAACTCTTTGTGTGCGGCCATCCAGCCAGTTCTTTATCCACCGAGTGGTCCATTCATCAAATTGATGTCTCTCCAATTTAGAGACAAGGATGTCGTGTGGGACAGTGTCGAACGCTTTGCACGAGTCCAGGTAGATGACATCAACTGCTGTACCCCTGTCCCTCAGTTCTGTAGCCCCATCATAGAAGTCCACCAAATTGGTCAGTCAGGATTTCCCCTTAGTGAAGCCATGCTGCCTGCCACCAAGCACCTTGTCGTTTTTCATGTGTCTTAGCATGCCTTCCAGGAGAATCTGCTCCAAGATTTTGCCAGGCACAGAGGTGAGACTGACTGGTCTGTAATTTCCTGGGTCATCCATGTTCCCCTTCTTGAAAATGGGGGTTATATTTCCCTTTTTCCAGTCGTTGGGAACTTCACCTGACTGCCATGATTTTTCAAATATGATGGACAAATATGAATCAGCCTCGCTGTGAACATTTTTGGCTTTGTATCTAGCCAGAATTTTCTTTGATATATCTTGTGATAATTGCCATTGTCCTTTCACTGTGCATCTCTGAGGAAAGCCTGGCTCTGTCTTACCTCAGGTAGCTGATGTCAGGAATTAGGTGCCCTGTTGCCAGGGTTTAGCACTGGTGCAGCTCCCTGCTCAGCACTGCCATTCAGAGGTGCCTAATCTTCCCTGCACACTGCAGTTCAGCAGCCTAGCACAGCATCCTGCAGTTGGTCTGGGGGGACAACCCTACAACTGTGTGTTGGATTCGCTTTGTGGTGAGGTAACTATATCATATCACACTGAATTTTCACCCTTGGTGTCTGTTCCCTTGCAGTTTTGCCAATTCCTGTTTAAATCTGCAACATTGCCTGAGCGAAGAACCACACAGAGTGGCCAGCTACTATTTTTTTTTTAAGAGATGCTTTAAAGCAGGTAATGTTGAACAATTACAAATACTCTTCTACACCACAAATATTTCCAAATATAAGCAGATACTCAGGAATGAATGTACAGGAAAAGACAATCTGTTTATTATGTTGTCACCTTATATAGCTAAACCATTTACTGCTTTGTTTGCACTGAGATACAGGTCATTTGTAGGTAGCAGCTGTACACCAGCTGTGTGTGTAGTTGCCTCTATAAAAATTACGGAGGGAACACACACGCTGCAATGTGGAAAAGAAGTTTCTCCTATTGAGCAAAGGTGCAAAAGACATGCTGGACATTGTCTCTCTATGACCCATGCGGAGACACTCATCAAATGTGGTGTAAATGGGACTAGTTGGTTCCATTTCCTCTAATTGGGTTACCTGTTTATTTGGTAAAAGGATTATGGTTCAGGAGTTCCTGAGCTGGCTGCATGTAGGGCTGGAGCAGGTCCAGAAAGGCTTTGACTGAGCCTGAGCAAATGAGCCCCAGTAAACTTATGTCTGCTCTCTGTGTGTACAAAAGTGCTGTTATGCAGGGGCAGCTTAGGTCTGTCGAGGGCTGACTACTAACCAGGACCTGCTGTGTTAGGATGCCTCAGCCCCCTGCTCCTGGGCTGGGGAAACCTGCAGCCATTTGGCTGACTTGAACCTGTCAACTCATGCATTTACACACTGTTACTTTTGAGGTAAAATCCCTTTCTGTTAAACTTCGGTTAAATTTAATCCTTTCCCGTTAAACTTCCTATTTGAAATAATTTATTATTATCCATCCCTGTGGAGCCCCAAACAGAAGCTGCTATATCTCACATCTCTGCTACTGTGAAGTTTTCCAGCTGCCCCACGTCTGTGCAGTGCCTCACCTACTGCAGAGTGCTTGACCAGACCTTCTCCTCCCCTTCACTGCAAGGTTAAAAGCCAGTTTCTCTGCCAGGTGAGGCTGCCAACATTCACTCCCAGATGATTATCACCAGTTTCTGATACTTTGAAGAATAAGATCTATTTGTTGTAATATCAAAAACAAAGTGAAAAATCACAAAGGACCAGAGATTACCAGGAATGTAAAAATGACTGGGCCAAAACCCCCTTGTATACACATGGCTGAGAGTTACACGCTGGTGGTGAAAGCAAGACAATACAGTCTTCATGACAGCAAATCCATCAGTAACATAAAGTGCTTCTGCCTGTTTGTTTTTTTCCTCTCTCTTACATGGGTTAACTTGCTAATGTTTGCTTTAATTGTTTTCTGCAGGATTTATCAACAGTGGATTAAAGACTAGATTATAGGGCATGCAGTATTGGTTTGCTTCTTGTGGTATCCAGTGCCTGCTCTATAGTTAAGATGTTTGCAAGACCAGGTCTAACTAACAATATATACAAGCACTTGACAGCAATCTTTTCTTCAGACTTTCTGTCTGAGATGATTCAGCACTGAAAGATGCAGTCTCTAATACTGCATTTTTTCTTCTTGAGCCAGAACTTCACAACTCCTCAAAGAAACCTTACCCCGTATTAATATAATACACAATTACAAATGCGCTTACCTCATATACTGTGCTGAATGCATTCATAATGTTAAATGTGGTGCTTTGAGCTGTTGCTTGGACCTCTGTGGTTACCTAAAGACATCAACCCTGCTGTCAGAGACAGCGATGCCCTGGTAGAAGATCTGACAACAGAACCTACAATCCTCTTTTACTGTCACGCCCCTCCCAGCCCTGACAGCTTAAACTTGTGCTGATGAACCAGAAGCCTGTTGTCAAACATTCTCAGGAGCCCCATAGGACTGGCTCAGCAGTTTGCTGACCTGGAGAACCTCCTAGGAAAACTATCTCAGGAAAATGAGAATAAAATATACGATAAGCAAATACCTTTTTGGCAATAAGAACAAAGCTATGCCTGCTTAGTTTCAGAGAATCAGTTTTTAATGTGGTATTTGCATGGGTTCTTCTGCTATTCTTGTCTAAATTAAACTGTCACCTGTGCAGCTTCCTGTACCAACACACAGTTGTCTTCTCAGGAAATATGTTGGGTGCTGAATACAATTCAAATATTGGATTGAGAAAACAAAGACTCTTAAAAAAGGAACTGGATGTACAAAGATACATGTTGTAAGGCCACATTCTTTCTAAGGGTAGCATCTAGGCTGCTGATGACACACCAGGTTAAGAAAATAACCAGCCACATCTCCAAAGAATATTCCCTTCTTCTGCATTTGTTTAATTCTTTGGGACCTACAAGTAAATACAGAATTTAATTCCTTAAATCTGGAAGACCAGATGAGCAATCTTATTTCTTTCATTTCATCTTTCAATTCACAAAGTTAGGGGGCCATGGCTTTGTTTTATACTTTGCATGGTCTTTAAGACAGAGGATCAATTCCAAGTCATTTGTGTTGAAAGTTATAGTGAAACATCCCCAGATGCTTTTGCTGTGTACTGACCCCTGCTATTTTGAAAATTGTATGCCTTGAGCCAAAGGGCTGGGGTGCCTGTTAAAGCAGCAATGTGTGCTTTTTTACCTGGGATTTACTAAAACCAGTGGCAAATTCTGAATATATTGTCAAGGGTTAATTTTGTATCTCCCTGGGGCCTCCTCCTAAGCATTTTTTTTCCAGATCTGAATGATGATCTGACTACTATTAATGGCTCTGGAGCACCTTCTTTCTTCCCCCCCCAAACATTTAGAATGCTGCCAAACTCTATTCTGCTTTCACTGAGTGCATTACTTCTCAAATTTCCTTAATGCGACACGTGGCATGTGCTGATGTACCTAGCCTGTGCCTTTGATTTCGGCCAGGAAATCTGCCCTGTTTTTGTCTCAGAGGCTCTTACATCCACTGCAGAGGTGTTGTAGCTGCTCAAGAGCAATTGCTGAGCTGCCATAAATTAGAGGCAGGTGTATTAAGGGAAATTGAAATGGATCCTGGTTTCCTCTAAACTTGAGTGGTGAAGGAGCTTCATATGCTGCTGAGCTACCCTTGGAGCAAGAGGAAGAACTGCCAAGAGAAACCCAGGACAGAAAGCTGAGAGAGGAAACCACCAATGTTGACCCAAGCTAAGCCATCATTGCTAATGAGTCACATGTGTTTAATGATGCTCATTTAAAAAAAAATATATGCTGGGTGCTCAGAAGCAGTAAGGCTGAAAAGTCATTATGCAAAAGTCCAGGAAAGAGTTACATTACTGCTCATTCATGCTCAAGCTGGAACCACAGTTCCAGTTAGAAATGAAGAGTGGGGTTTTAATTGTTTTTTTTTAAGACCCCAAAAGGAACTGTTTAGGGCGTTTATCTTCTTTTTCAACTTGTGAAAAATTCTGGACACTCAGAATGTTAGTTTCTCTTTTAATTTCTTCTTTTTTTTCCCAGTAAGTACATGAGGGTAACTGCAGGCAGGTTAAGGTTTGTCTTTCCTTTCACAACAAGCAAATGATGTAATTTTCTTTCATTCTTCTGTAACTTTTCTAAAACTAAAAACATAATTGTAAAAATGTAAGTGGCAGAAAGGGAAATGAAATTAAAAGATGTTATTCTGCCATTTTGCAGAGCTCCTCCTGTTCCTATAGTAATGCTTCCAAGGATGTGAAAGCTTTGAGATGCTGCAGAATAACAAAGCAGGGTGAGAAGAGGGAGAAGGCGGGGGGCGGGGAACCCAAACAGAGAAGAAAACCCCAAAGAAAAAGCTTCTTTTAGCACTAGTTTTCCTTCTGTTGTAGTCTAATGGCCACTGAGGAAAGAACTTCCTCCTGACATTTGGAAAATCTGAAACAGAAAAATGTCTCATCTGATTATTAAAAGCTTTTTCAAAACTATTGGTTTTGAAAGGAGATTTAAGTAAAATTTTTATGAGCCCAACTGAAAATTTATGGTCCTAATAATAAACATGGATCAAAATTATTCTTGTTCTGCTCATGCTTACCCAAGTGTTTTAGAGTTAGAAACTTACATAATTATGCTAGAAGACACAGGTGCATGTCTTAAGATATTTTCTGGATGCCATTGACAATGATGTGTAGTGCATTGGGCCCAAAATGTACTGTTTATGTATTATTTGATTCCAACTGTTATGTACTGATATATACATATATACAGCGATACATACACACACACACACACACAAACATATCTCCATACACATATCTGTGTATTTGTACATATGTTTGTGTATACATATGTATAAAAGATTTATGAACTAAATTAGAAATTAATGTCCAAAGCTACAATCTATGAAAGAAAAACAAGTGTAAATCTTTATGTTCTTTTTCTGCCTTTCAGCTTCTTGCTATGTGGTTCTAGGGTGCAAATCTAGGAGAAGTCAAGAACTTCAGAGATTTGAGAAGGTGAGGGCTTGAGTTTGCTTTGGGTTTTTTTTTTCCAGAATTTTGAAACAAAGTTCTCTGTTGTCTTACTGAGATTTTCAGGGGGAAACTGTGAACTCTAAACACCATCTGAGTTATGCTGCTATAACAAGGTATAGTGAGAAGTAACTGCAGTATATGAAGTTGGATTTGGAACATCTCATGCACTTACATTTCAAAAAATGTCGTATTAACCCAGTTCATACTTGCAGTCAGTGTGATTCCTTCCCATTGCCTTCAGAGAACTTTGGATAGCTTAAAATAATCACTTTACTATGTAATTTGCATGCAACTGCAAACAAGGAAGGGAGGGAAAGAAACCCAAAATTTCAACATGTGGAGAAATAAAAGGAACAAATCCCAGCTGCAATCAAACGCCTATTTTCATCCTCACCTTTCCTCTTTTTTCTCACCTGGCTGGCACAGAAACAGCCTTGGAAATGATGCAGTTTTGTTTCTGACTTTTGAAGCCAGAATAATGTCCTCAGTCTTACAAGATAACATAATCTGTTTCATATATATCTGTAGTTCCTGAAAAGTTTGTGGATTTGAATATAAGGGAATCGAGAGCCTGGAATGTCAGAGTCAGGACCCTCTTTCACAGTATTTGTGGTCTAACCTGAAATAGATGGTACCAGAAGTTGCAGAGGAAAGCCTGCTACTAGGAATTCTAGGGAGAATTTGCGAATGGTGGAGTTTAATGTGTACAAGACTGGAAAAGGCCTTTTTTTTTGTGCATGCGCTATGCTAGAAGTCATTTAGACATGCCTGTTATTTTAAGACTTGCTGCTGCTGTTCCTTTTGACCTCCCTGTGCTTCTGAAGTTCAAAACAATCACACTCTTCTTCTAGTTGGTCCCTTCTGGCAGTGAGCAGATATTTGCTCCTGAGGAGGAGGTACAACTGCTCCCTACAAGCAGCCCTGGCCTCACACGACCTGGAATGCCACAGGTCTTTGACAGGATTAGTACCAACACTCCCACAAACTGATTTAATATCAGCTAAGAAGCTTTTTCTTAAATAGTCCCAGTATTCCCGAAATCTTCACACTCAGCCTTTATCTCACAAAAAAAATGCTGAACACAAGAGTGGCCTCTGTAATGCCTGAAGTCAAGCCCTAAGGAATTTAGTACTTCCACCTGTGTGAGCCACTTCTGACCTTTTGTGATGGGATAATGCTGGTATATGGTGCCATTTTTTCACCCCTTTTGTGAAGCTGAGTTTTATAAGTACCTGGGATGATTCCCATTTGTCTACTGGGAGCAGTTCTATGAGAAAAAAGAGGAGTAGTTAGAAGAATTAATTGCAATTATCTATGAAAAGGGAGCTCACATTTGGTTCTGCATGCAGTAGGATATCTGTTTTTAAGCAATAAAGAATAATGTTTCTAGAGATGATCAACAGCCCCAGGCAAAGTCCATTTTCCTTGGTCTTACCAAAGAAACACCATCAAAATTGTACTGGAGGTGAAGATTTTAAGGAAGGCACCAGTTAAGGCACTATTTTAAGCAAGGAAGAATAATTAAAATAGCCTACTGAAAGCCTGGGGATGGTGACTGGACCTAAAATTCAACGGGGAGTTTGCATAAGAAACAGCATTGACCTTCTTATCAACCCATATTTGTCAACAGCTGGGCTGCTGTATTGCATCAGCTGGGATTTCTTAATTTTATCAGGTGCAAGATACTGGGAATCAGGACAGGACTGGATGCTATAGTTAAGTCTGGGTGGCTCTTTTTAACTCACTGATTTAAAAGGCCTATTTTCTTGCAGGTGATTGAATTTTCACCAGCAAAGGAAAACAGAGAAGATGCATGATGTTTTGATGCCTCAAAGGCTGCAGTGCTGCGAAGAGTTACTTCTTTGTCAAAGAGAGGTAGTCACTAGTTCTATGATGATTTGTCTAACTGTGAAAGGACTGAGAATATGTAATGGATCAAGACAGGAGAGGCAAGATTGCTCCATTTAAAATACTGTCCTCAATAAAGACATCCTCATTGCTCTAAATAGTGAGCTTTCTATGTGCATTAGGTTTGAATCTTTTCTACTGAAAGGTGTCAAATGAAGCAATGTTTCAACAGGAGAAAAATCTGTCCTATTCTATGAATGTCTATGGGTTTGCATAAAGAAAAACCTGAGGGCAGAGTTGATATAAAATGGTGAAAAAGTGATGAAAAATCTGTTTTCCTGTTCAGTGTTTTTAAGAAGTATTTATAAGAACAGATGGTGGGCAACAGCAGAACATGTTCACTTTTATCAAGACATTTGGCTGACAAGCACAGACTGAAATGCATTTCTTTCCTTCTTGACTTAATAATTTTAATTAGAGGCAAAAGGTGTGGCAATCTCATTGTCTGGAGGCGTATGTGCAATATTGTCTTGGTTGGGCAGGACCGGGTGGGAGAGAATATCACTGCCTCTAATGAAGGGTGGTGCATATCTGTGCAATCTCTATTTTTTTTTATTGTCTGGTAATCTAAAAAATGCAAATTCTGAATCTGCTATTGCACAATGCACATAGAGATACACTGAGGCTATGCTTTCAGTTAGAGAACAAAAACATGACTACAAAATGTGTGCAAGCAATACCACACCACTGGAGAAGAAAGGCTTTGAAGAAATAGTGGGACATATATTTATTATCTTGAGGGGGAAATTTCAAAGCTACCTATGTAACTTAGAGGTCTCTGGAACTCCTTCACTATTTAAATACTTTGAAAATCTCATTTATTATCTAGTCATTTTGAACGTCATATACTCTCTCCCTAAGAACATCAATGTGTTCGGGAAATTGTAATTAAGAATCATAATCTCTAATCAGGTTTAATGGTGTTTTTTTCATTTACCCTACTTCTCTCTGGTCACATTTAGTTTTTCACAGAACTGCTTGCATGGGTGATGCTGTCTTTTGTCCTTTACCAGCTCACAAAGCCCCAACCCAAAGCTGCTTCTCCTGTTCTTGCACACCACAATTGAGAGGTGAGGAACCCGAATGGGCCTGTCCCGAATGGAAGCACTGAAATGAGATTCGTACCCTGAGCAGCTCTGGCATGATGTTCTTGCTGTGTGCTCCCTCTCTTGTGTATGGGTTATGAAAATATTCAAAATGCCTTCATCTCACAAACATGCATTTGTTAAGAGCTGTGCTTCTAAGATTTTCTGAAGATGCTAAGCTGTCTTCATGCTTTGTCATCATAGTCCTCATAGAATCATAGAATCATAGAATAGCCAGGGTTGGAAAGGACCTTAAGATCATCAAGTTCCAGCCCCCCTGCCATGGGCAGGGACACCTTGCTCTAAACCATATTACCCAAGGCCTTGTCCAACCTGGCCTTGAACACTGCCAGGGATGGAGCATTCACAACCTCCCTGGGCAACCTATTCCAGCGCCTCACCACCCTAACAGGAAAGAATTTCCTCCTTATATCCAATCTAAACTTCCCCTGTTTAAGTTTTAACCCATTACCTCTTGTCCTATCACTACAGTCCCTAATGAAGAGTCCATCCCCAGCATCCCTATAGGCCCCCTACAGATACTGGAAGGCTGCTATGAGGTCTCCACGCAACCTTCTCTTCTCCAGGCTGAACAGCCCCAACTTTCTCAGCCGATCTTCATACGGGAGGTGCTCCAGTCCCCTGATCATACTCGTGGTCCTCCTCTGGACTTGTTCCAACAGATCCATGTCCTTTTTATGTTGAGGACACCAGAACTGCACACAATACTCCAAGTGAGGTCTCACAAGAACAGAATAAAGGGGCAGGATCACCTCCTTCGACCTGCTGGTCACGCTCCTTTTGATGCAGCCCAGCATAAGGTTGGCTTTCTGGGCTGCAAGCGCACACTGCTGGCTCATGTTCATTTTCTCATTGACCAACACCCCCAAGTCCTTCTCTGCAGGGCTGCTCTGAATCTCTTCTCTGCCCAGCCTGTAGCTGTGTCTGGGATTGCTCTGACCCAGGTGTAGGACCTTGCACTTGGCATGGTTAAACTTCATGAGGTTGGCATCAGCCCACCTCACAAGCGTGTCAAGGTCCCTCTGGATGGCATTCCTTCCCTCCAGTGTATCAACTGAACCAGACAGCTTGGTGTCATCGGCAAACTTGCTGAGGGCGCACTCAATCCCACTGTCCACGTCAGCGATGAAGATGTTGAACAGGACTGGTCCCAACACCGATCCCTGAGGGACACCACTCGTTACTGGTCTCCAGATGGACATTGAGCCATTGACCACAACTCTTTGTGTGTGGCCATCCAGCCAGTTCTTTATCCACCGAGTGGTCCATTCATCAAATTGATGTCTCTCCAATTTAGAGACAAGGATGTCATGTGAGACAGTGTTGAACGCTTTACACAAATCCAGGTAGATGACATCAACTGCTCTACCCCTGTCCATCAGTTCTGTAGCCCCATCATAGAAGTCCACCAAATTGATCAGTCAGGATTTCCCCTTAGTGAAGCCATGCTGCCTGTCACCAAGCACCTTGTTGATTTTCATGTGCCTTAGCATGCCTTCCAGGAGAATCTGCTCGAAGATTTTGCCAGGCACAGAGGTGAGACTGACTGGTCTGGAATTCCCCGGGTCATCCATTTTCCTCTTCTTGAAAATGGGGGTTATATTTCCCTTTTTCCAGTCGTTGGGAACTTCACCTGACTGCCATGATTTTTCAAATACAATGGCCAGTGGCTTAGCAACTTCATTTGCCAGCTCCTTCAGGACCTGCGGATGGATTTCATCAGGACCCATGGACTTGTGCACGTTCAGATTTTTAAGATGGTCTCAAACCAGTTCCTCTCCTACAGTGGGCCCAAGGTCTTCATTCTCACAGTCCCTGCATCTGCCTTCCAAGACTTGGGTGGTGCGGTCAGAGCCTTTGCTAGAGAAGACCGAGGCAAAGAAGTCATTCAGAACCTCAGCCTTCTCCAAATCCTGTGTAACTAGTTCACCTGAGAGCTTCCTGAGGGGGCCTACATTCTCCCTAATCTGTTTTTTATTTGCTATGTACCTGTAGAATCCCTATCCTGTTATCCTAGCCAAGTTTAATTCTAACTGGGCCTTAGCTTTCCTAACCTGGTCCCTAGCTTCCCGGACAACATCCCTGTACTCTTCCCAGGCCGCCTGTCCTTGGTTCCACTTTCTGTAAGACTCTTCTTTTCATCTGAATTTTCCTCAGCAGCTCCTTATCTACCCAAGGAGGTCTCCTGGCCCTCCTGCTGCACTTCCTTCTAGTTGGGATGCAACACTCCTGAGCTTGTAGCAGGTGATCCTTGAAGACCAACCAAGAGTCTTGAGCCCCTCTGCCCTCTAGGGCTATATCCCATGGAACCTTACTAAGCAGGTTCCTGAAGAGGCCAAAGTCTGCTCTCTTGAACTCCAGGGCAGTGAGCTTGCTGCTCGCTCTTCTCACTGTCCTGAGGATCTCAAATTCAACCATCTCATGATCGCTGCATCCAAGGCTGCCCTGGAGTGCCACATTTCCAATGAGCCCTTCCCTGTTGGTGAGCACAAGGTCAAGCATGGCACCTCTCCTTGTCGGTTCCTTTGTTACTTGCAGAAGGAAGTTGTCTTCCACACAATCGAGGAACCTCCTGGATTGCTTGTGCCAGGCTGTACTGTCATTCCAACAATGTCAGGGTGGTTGAAGTCACCCATGAGAATGAGGGTCTGTGAGCGTGAGGCTTTTCCTATCTTCCTATAGAGTGCTTCATCTGCAGATTCCTCTTGATCAGGTGGTCTATAACAGATGCCCACAGTAATGTCTCCCATCACTGTTTTCCCTTTAACCCTGACCCACAAGCTCTCTGTTAACTGCTCATGAAGGTGGCTGCCTGATACATCCACCACAAAGAAAGATCATAGTATTTATATAGGATAGTTTCTAACTGTATCCTTAACTGCATCTGAAGAAGCACAACCAAGGTCAAGGGAGGTAATTCTTCCACTCAGCTCTCATGAAACCTCCAGCTGCAGTGCTGTGTTCAGCTCTGCTCCACCCCCCCCCCCGCCCCGCCCCCCAGTACAAGAGGGACACGTTGGACCTGTTGGAGTGAGTCCAGAGGGGGGGCCACAAAAATGATCAGAGGGCTAGAGCACATCTCCTGTGAAGACAGGCGGAGAGAGTTGGGCTTGTTCAGCCTGGAGAAGAGAAAGCTCGGGGGAGGCCTTAGAACAGCTTCCAGTGCCTAAAGGGGCTAAAAGAAATCTACAGAGGGACTGCTTACAAGGATATGTAGAACAAAGCTGAAATAGGGTAGATTCAGATTAGGTATTAGGAAGAAATTCTTTACTATGAGGGTGGTGAGACACTTGATCAGATTGCCCAGAGGAGCTGTGGTTATTGCTGTTATTGCAGCATATGTGGACCCATCCCTGTCACTGTTCAAGGCCAGGTTGTATGAGGCTTTTGAACTGCCACTGACTTCAGGTCTTTGTTTCACATGTTCATAAAACTTTAAGCCAACAGAAGTATTGATTTTCAGAAGATTTTATTTAAGGTTTTCCCTTACTGACTGAAGTTCACTTCATGAGAACTGTTTTAAGAAGCATTGTCAGTCTCCTGGCTGTAAAAAGGCAACACAGCTCTATCAGGTGTTATTTTAGTGGCTGTTTAGAAGACAGTTCAGTTCACTGTGTAAAGCTACTGATATGATGTCTCTTTATGACTAGAAACTTGATTTTGCATCCCTTGTGAGTATAAATCTCTGAGATTTACAAGAAGTGACAGCCTGCACTGCATTTCGCTGCTGTCCAGTGGGGACAAATCCTCAGCAGGGAAATGCAGGCAGGAAGGTTGCTGCTGCCTGTACCCTCCATCTTAGAGCAGCAGCTTGTGGGGCAGAATATTTTCTGCACACTGTTTGAGTGGGAGAACTGAGGTTTTGTGCCCATGCACAGCCATCAACCTCACACAAGTTGCATCAACCATTTATCAAGATTTACATTCTAGTCCTTATGGTCTGCCAGGTAAATGGTATATGGTCCGTGTGATGCGTCACAATACATGTGCACCCAATAAACTGTGGTGGTTTGCTACATAATATGTACTTTCAAACTTTAAGCACATTGTTAAATTTTGGCAGGGGGGACTGATCAACAGTCTGATTACCAGATATGTCAGAGTAGTGAAAACTAAATAAACCGATATCCATCACTTCCCCCTTCCATCATAGACCTTTCAACTATCAGATACATGACTGAACCTGGAGGAAGAGGCAGCCACATTTTCTCATGATGACAGTGCTTTCAGAAGTGCCGGTGCTTGATGATCTGCAGTAAACCAGGGGAAGCAAAGAAGTCAAGGCCAGCCTCTGAAAAAGATATATGCACAGTATTCTTCATATCAATTTGTCTGCATTTACCCAACTATCAGAATGCTGTGTCGCTTATCTGTGCTGGTTAACTGAGTTGTTAAGAGACCAATGATAATAGAAAACAAGCTGAAGACAGATCAGAAAGTTTAACAGCTAAAGCTGAGAATTTCAGCCTTATTTTACTTTGCTTGTTTTGAGGAGACACTGTCTGTAGGCACATATGCTTGCCTTTGTTCAAAGTTTTTAGACATTAAGCACAACACCATCCTTAATGCATGTTGCTTTTTTGATGCTAGATCAGCAAACCCTGGTGGTTTACAGCAGACGGGCATCTTATCCTCTGAGGAACTCTTATGGGTTAGTGGATGCAACTCCAGCGTTAAACTAGGTGCAGATGTGGGACTGAAGCCTTACTGAATGTGCTCTCCCATGGTCCATGTCCCTTTTGGGAGTACCAGTACAGTACTGTACTGCTCTCCTCTGAGAATGGGGATTTTACTTGTGGAGAAGTAATACCAGGCTTAATTCTCCCTTCCTCCAGACCTGTGCTCAAGGAGCACAGACTGGGTATTCTCTGATAAACTGCCACTGTTCTGGGAAACCCCTAGTTATT